ATTTAAGTATACAATATCCGGCGCAAATTAGCAGTAAAATAATTGTTTATTATTATAAAATGTTGACAGTAAAAATTTACGTTGATAACTAAATAAACAATTATTATTATTATCATTATTATTATTTATAGATTTTATAAATTTACTAAACTCATATGAAAAGTATGTTTTGAAATAATTATATATTTTTATTGGGTTTTCTGAACTTTTGAGGTTGTTTGTCGTTTATCGACATTATAGGCTTTTAAAAAAAATTTATTTTTAATCAAACCGATAAATAAAACAAACCTTAACAATGAAAAGTTATCGAAACAAAGAAATATACTGTAGACAATCAAAAAATATTATTTTAGCTATATACATATATATATTGCCCTCTATATACATAACGAATGTGAAGGTTAAAAATGACTTCAATAATTAATGATTTTTATTAAGCGTTTATTAAAATAGATCGCATACTCCTGTTACTTGCAACTTCACAGACCTATTAAGCTTTAGTATATTTTAAGATAATCAATGGAGATACAATCGATACCAATAATAGCTTGTATTTCTGTTAGATAGTCTGTAGTTCAAAACGTTGGTTCAAATATTTTATTTGTTCGAAAATGTACGACGTGCTCGAAGATATCAATGCTTCTTGAACTCGAATGATAAAAATCTTGAACCAAGTATACTCAAATATTAAAATGTTTAAAACTTCGATCAGTCCGGATAATAATTGAAGCTTTAATCTATAGCAATTGTTCGAAAATTGTTTTGATCCCATTTCTTTTAAAGTCTGTTCATAAAGTTTCCGTTTGCAGACAAACAAGTATATTAAGAACAACTTCGAACTGTTTGAAAGATTTTTACTGCAACTCCTCAAACTATTTGAATTTGAAACAAAATATTTAACCCTTTCACGATTCACAATTATAATCGAAAAATAAAGGCAAGAGAGCTCAGGTCTCATAAAAAGTTTAGCATGAATGCATTCATATCTATCCTATATCTATCATACCTATGTTTCTGATATACCAATACTAAAAAACTAATAACTACTTTTGTAAATAATAAAGTGATTCTACAGTTGCTGATATTGAAGTGGAGTTGACACAAGTACTTCAAAATGCTATTGACAAGATAGTACAATGGAGAATAAAATGGAAAATAAGCTTAAACAACTTAATGACACTAGACGAAAATTTCACATATTAGAAAATATCTTATCTACCTGTCAGAACTCTTGGAAATTGAAGGCCATACTTAAATACTGTGAAGCACTTAAGAATGACACTTGATGCAAACTAAAGTTAATAATATAAAGAAATAAATGATTTTCGTTGAAGTTGAAATGACATATAAAATTTTGCAATAACTAATTGGTTGATGTATATTCATTTCTATGCACTGCAAGTTTATCTTATTTTACTAAATACTAAAACCTGTCCGTTCATATGAAGTATAATCTTTCCATTGTGCACATAAAAATTAGTTTTGAAGACATTAATTGAAAAAGTCAATGCTCTCTAGTACACAAGAAACAGTGACTTTAACTGTGATCTGTGTTTAACTGTGTATGTATTATCTGAATTGGTAAGTGGTAAGTGTTGGCTTGCTGGGGTAGTCTTGTGTGGTAAACTATCTAGAAGTAAACATGATTCCGATTTGCCGGATTCGCTAATTTGACAACGAATTCCGCTCAAAACTGATATTTTGATCAAGTTTCCTTTATTAATCTCTAAGTAATTTTAGTTTAGTTTACAGATATCGGGGATTCATATGGCAGATTTCCACGTAGAAATCACAAACAATAAGTACAGCAGTCATCTGACCATCTTTCTTAGTATAATATATCTTGAAGTTATCTATATTGGTATGTAGCGCAGGGAAAAAGTATCTCAAAATAGTTGATTATACTGAAATCTATTGCTAGATCAGCATTCCTGGAAAATCAGAACTGCCCTAAGAAGTTGATTAACTCTCTAATACCTTAGCTTCCGAGAGATAGCTTCTGTTTGTGGAAATCTCCAATCAAATTATTTCTACCTGTCCGGGTTTGACCTGGTCGAGCAGGAGTTTACTGTATCTAGAAGAAGATTATTGAGCTGAGAGCTTCTATCCACATCTGATGTTAGCATATTCTTATTTACTGAAGTTTTGAATTTCATTCGAAGCTTATCTTCTGTTCACTTAGAATCCATAAAGATCACAAAGAATAACCCACAGTCGTTTATTCTATTCTAATGAAATGCATTTCCTATATAGGAATAATGTTCAACGATCTTTACGTTAGTTAATAAAAATTTAAACAGTTGTTGCAGTATGGGATATTGAAGATTTTTCAATCTACAGGTGATTAATATAGGGAACAGAGATGATAGTAAATGCTTATGATGCAATCTAGAGGACTCATTAAAGTGTGACGTGTTATGTTTTATTTGCGAAACCATCACATCAAATGTAAAAACGAATCATGTAGTGGACAGTGACGGAACAACGAATTGAATTATAAAATCGGTTTTAACTATTTTTTAGTATATCATATGTTTTTGTTAGTGGACTTTCTTGATAAATTAGACTGTAGCTGTTATGATTCTGTAAGAAAGTGGTTTTTTTTTCAGGGAGTTTTATTTTATTTATTTTATTTTTTTAATCCATATTCCATTAAGAGCTTAAGGACTCAACTAAAGTTTTCCAACAGTTTCTATTTTGTGCTGTATGTCTTAATTTGCTAGTTTCATGAAGTTTTGTTTTCCTCCAGGTTATTTCAGGTCTGCCCCTGTGTCGTATTCCTGGATGGTTTCATGTAAGCGCAGTGCACTTAATATCACCATAGGGTTTACGTAATTTATGCCCTATCCACCTATGTATTTACTTTCGTATGTTATCGTTTGTGGCTCACAAGCCTCCATAACATTTCTTTTGCTATCGTTCTGGACCACCAAATCCGAAGTATATTTCGCAAACAACGGTTTATAAACGTTTATGGCTTAGTTTTTTTTTCAGCAGTCATGAGCCAAGTTTCAAAATCTTCGAGAAGAACGGACTTCACACACGCATTGAAAGTTTTTATTTTTGTGTCTGTGTAGAGATTGTTGGCGCGCCGTATCTTTTAAAATCTGGCGAACGATCCACACAATTTTTGGATTCGGGCATTTATATCTTTATATTTTATTTTATAATGGGTTAATTTATTTTTAATAAAAGAAAAGGACTACCAAAAATTACCACCTATAGACTAAAGCTGTCAGTCATTTTTATTTCTTGATATCATGTAGATACTTCAAAAAATACAAACTACATTAGCAATTTGTTTGTTAAAATAGTTGACCTATCTTGATTAAATTTGGAAAATATTTGTAATTAACATCTTAATTTTAATAGTGAACCAATTTCGCTTTAATAATTTCAATGAAATTTCAATTAAAGCAATTTAAGAAACACAAACCTTTATTCAATTAATTTATTTGCTTCCACTATCTTTTTCACAACGGCTGGCAGCCTTTTAAATGACAAAATGTGTGATTGAGTAATTTTTAAAAATAAATTTTAAACAAAAATTTATATCTTTTATATTCATTTACTTAAGCTTTTATCAAGTTTAAGGTCATTCCTTAAATAATTCTCTTTAAATTCAAATATGTATCTTACTTTCACAATGAAAGCATACTTTTTATTACGAGTATTGTTGGGGTGCTCATGTTCATTTTCAACCAAATGAAATAATTTAATCAAGAGATAGTAATCAACAATACAATTTTTAGATAAAAAAAGTATCTATGAGTAAAAGAAAAGAGTAAATAGTGAAAAATATACAGGGTCTTGTTACAGTTGTTATGTATTTTCCAGTTAACATATTAACTGGAGACTTATACTTATGGAGTATAACACCATAAGCCTCACTATTATTTTAGTAGCTTTCTAATTAAAAAAAAATGTCATTTGAAGTAAGGCAGAGCGAAATGCAGTCCATCACTTACCGAAGCAACGTCCAGTATTTACTATTTAGTACTGTTTCTGGAATTGGTAGCATCTCAAAATACCATCAGAAGGTCATCGTCAAATAGTTCCCAAAGAGTAGTATGAATATCCATTTATTTTTGTAATCGTATTCGAAAATGTGTTGGACTATATTTGGTTTCAATGAGAATAAACTATATATTATATTGTCAAAGAAACAACGAGTTATGTATGCAAGTCCCCATCTACTTCGTCTATCACTACATCGTCTCCAGAAATAGAGTTGTGGCGTTTTCTGCTAATAGTGGTGCAGTTCTACTTTGAATGATTTTGCTGATTTGTGTATCTAATTGTCTGAGGTCCTCCCTTAGAGTGTAGTGAATTTCCTCCCCATTGAGATCGCTGATTGCATTACTTCGACTCGAGTTGGATTCAATATTTATCTATCAATAACTATCAAACCACCCTGCATACTGACTTTGTCCACCAATTAATCTAATCAATTAAATTAGAAATTGTGAGGTCATGATGTGCTGAAAGAAAAGTTGCCTTTATCAGTTGTAACTGAGCAGGCGTTATTGACCAGACTTTCTTATCACACACCTGCTTGATTTTATTTAAATAAAATATATAAACTATTCATTACATAGTGACACTCCTCATTTGTAATCAGTATATAGATAAAATAGTTAATATAATTTTGTCTTATCATTACATGTTCTAAAAATTTAATAAATAATACAAATTAGTTTAGTTTTATATGAGATTTGATATATATATAAATCATTTATATCAGAGAAGTGCAACATATGTTCTTGGCACTATGTTTCGCAGAGTGTAATCGATACTAATTGAAATTTTACAAAATATTAGATTATATATACCTATAGAACCTATAGGTAGGCGTACCTACTAACGCATTAGTATCATTAGTATAGTATCAGTTTATTAATTGTGCAATTTTATAAAAATAAAATAATAAAATTAATTAAAACAGACTTATTATGATTTATTATTTTATAAAGAAAATTACATTTTAATTTTATTTACAGATTCCTTTACGGATGTGGAATTAGGCATAACAAATCCAAGCTACGATGATATAGATCATCCAAATCTCTATTCACAATTCGATGCTGATGCAATGGCGGCAAATGGGAATAGAACTGTTGTAGTAACTGAAACTGATAGCATTGATGATGAGTGTAGCAATGAGGATAATAATAGCACTGAAATGAGGGAAACACATTGTCTGCCCGAATTTCAGTTTTCCATCATTGAATCAGAATATGATGAAACGCTGGCGTTTCCAGATTCTGTTACAATTTTATCAAACGTTGGAGACAAGCCGGTACTTGTCGAACGTAAAGACACCGATGATGATGAAGACGACGTAGATCCTACAGGTTTACCTACTGAAATAAATTTTACATCCATCTATGGGCCAAGTGTTAAATTTAATTCCTTTCAACGCAAAGTCTTCATACCAGGTATGGAGATACAAGTAAGAATTATAGATACGGAAAGAAGTATAACAACACATTTACTTAATCCAAATTTGTAAGTTTCCTCAAATAATTTTGTAAATGTTGTATATATATAATTGTGTGATTTTTTTTTTTGTTATTTTCTAGATATACTATAGAATTAAGCCATGGCCCATATAAATGGACTATTAAAAGACGCTATAAACATTTTAATTCATTACATCAGCAGCTAAGTTTCTTTCGTACATCACTAAATATACCATTTCCCATGCGTAGTCATAAGGAAAAACGCGCTACTCTAAAAAGTGCCGCTCTACAAATGGCCGATGAGGCTCGACTAAAGGAATTACAAGCAAATACCAGTAATAGTCTCAATAGTCAAAAAAATAAATCCCAAAATAATACCATAGTGCAATATAATGAAAGTATGGCCAATGCGAGTAATAGTACTAAGAAAAAGAAGAAGAAACGTAAATTACCACGATTTCCAAATCGTCCCGAATCTTTAGTTACCGTGGAGTCGATACCAACTCGCATTAAACAACTTGAAGACTATCTATACAATTTATTAAACATAAGCTTGTATCGCAGTCACCATGAAACGGTAAGTTATATTCGTAAAAAGATATTATATACCTATCTTTTTCATATGTTCGTTATCTGCAGTGGTAATATCTTTTTCACATCAACGTATTGTCTTCTCTATAAAATTGAAAATTTATATTTCTGGTCCTATGATCATTTAAAAATATATATATATATATTAGCGCTTCTTTCACTTGCAAATCCAAACCAACGCTAATGGTGAAAGTGTTATTACAAATTTACTGTTCTAGGGGGCCTAGTCTATTCATTAGTAGACTTCGTTTCTGAAGCGGCTTGGTTTAAGTTTTCGAGTTACTTATCAGTGAAAACCACATGGTTCTCACAACTTCTGTCAGAGCATTATTGTTATGGGAAAAACAAATAAAGCATGATTTTCAAAAAACAGGAAAACTATGTAGACGCAACAACAAAAACACTAACAACTACAGCAACAAAAGCAAGTTACATTTTACTGGAATCAGTTCTTCACAAAAACACTAGGAAGCGTTCTATCTTCCAGATCGAAATGAATGATTTGCTGCAGTATCAGTAACTTGGTTCTAACATTGATATCATTTTAAGCCAGGTGCACCTATCTTACTAAGATGAAAATCGAAGACATATTGGGAATAACACATAAGAACTATATCTCTAGTATGTTATCTTAAGTTTGTGATGCATTCTTTTTATTCAATAAATACTTGGTAACAAAATGGGAATATTGTTATTGTAGTCCATCGTGTGAACCTGTTTTTTGCGAGACAGTTACATTATAAATATTAGTAAGTTATGGGAATTTGCACCTAGAAATCCGATTTACTTACTAAATAGATTTACAGTCCAATTTTGACGTTCACCGATATGAAAATCTGAGATAGTAAAGGAATAATACATAAAATCTGGATGCATAAATTGCTCTCTAAAATGTTTAGTAATGTAAAAGAAGGAAAATATTTAGCACTTTGGTTATTGGTTTTGTAGTTCGCCATGTGAACCAATATGACTCTTTGACTGAAGCTGTAGGCGGAATCCGGTAGTGTAGCTGTGAAATTCAAATTTGGCTGCTATATGCATTGGGGTGGTTGTCTTACACAATTGTGTTCTATATTTATACATATAAAGCATATAAAGCTATATACATTAACTTATATATCTATAGGTATAATTGCTAATTATTCCAACGCTGATACGTTTTTTATATTTTTTAGTTAAATTTTGTGGAGGTCTCGAATGTCTCTTTTGTAGCTGGACTGGGTATGAAAGGTAAAGAAGGTGCAATACTCAAACGTACGGGTTCGACACGGCCTGGACAAGCAGGTTGTAATTTTTTTGGTTGTTTCCAGCAGAAATGTTGTGTACGTTGTAATTATTTTTGTTCCGATGTCTTATATGGGCAATGGCGTAATCGTTGGTTCTTCGTGAAAGAAACTTGTTTCGGCTATATTCGTCCTACCGATGGTGTTATAAGGTATTTTCTTAAATATACTGCATTCATTTTTGAATCTATAACACAGTTTCAGGTATATCATTACAGAGCTGTAATACTCTTCGATCAAGGTTTTGATGTTTCAACGGGTATTTATCAGACAGGTATGCGCAAAGGCTTACAAGTATTAACCAATAACAGACATGTGATATTAAAATGTTGGACGAAACGAAAATGTAAAGAATGGATGCAGTTTCTAAAACAAGTGGCGAATAGTAGTGCACGCGACTTTACTTACCCCAATCCACATATGTCATTTGCACCAATACGTTCGTGTACCTTAACCAGTTGGTATGTTGATGGGTCAACATATATGGCTGCTGTAGCTGATGCATTAGAAGCTGCCACAGAAGAAATTTACATTGCCGATTGGTGGTTAAGTCCAGAAATTTATATGAAGAGACCTGCGATAGACGGTGATTATTGGCGCTTGGATAAAATATTGACCCGTAAAGCAGTAAGTTCTGAAATTCATTTAAAGAAATGATATGAAGATATTATTGTAAATCTTTATTTTTTTCAGACTGAAGGCATAAAAATATTTGTATTACTCTACAAAGAAGTTGAAATGGCTTTGGGTATTAATAGTTATTATAGTAAGCAACGACTTGTGGGTTTACATGAGAATATCAGGGTAAGTTAAATGAGTTTCAAGTTTTGTCAATTATTAATAAAAAAATTTAAATATTTAGGTTGTGCGACATCCAGATCATGCCCGCGCTGGTATATTCTTTTGGGCACATCATGAAAAAATTGTGGTGGTGGACCAAACTTATGCATTTTTAGGTGGCATTGATTTATGCTATGGGCGTTGGGATGATTACCGACATCGTCTTACCGATCTTGGTAGCATTTCGACCGCTTCTGCAACTGGCAGTACGAGAAAACAGACTGGATTTTTCAATGGCAAAGACGATGCAGATTCTGCCTTTGGTTCACGCAAATCTTCTCGCAATGTTAATATTGATTTACAAAAACGAGAACAAAATAATAGTCGAAATTCTTATAAATTTGAAAGTGTAGAGTTACGTAAACTAGAACCAGGTGAAAAGTTAATGATACCCGAGCTACGGTCACCAACTACCGAAGAACCTGTTGCATTGGAGGGTATGAAATTGAATACACCTGAAATGGAACGTAAAAATATGCTTGGCAAACTTAAGGAGAATGCTATGAAGAAGGGTAAAGATTTAGTTAATCGTTTAACCATGACAGAAAATGAACGTGCCGGAGAGAAATCACCAGATATACTTAAAGATCCTAAGCAAATGGTGTTCACTATAGATGAACTGGAGAAAGGAAGACAAGGTGGCTTAGAAGATCCTACGCCGTTACAAACACAAATTTTAAATAATTTTTATGGACAAGCTAAATATTGGTTTGGCAAAGATTATTCCAATTTTATAATGAAAGACTGGATGAATTTAGATGCACCTTTGGTAGATATGATAGATCGTACTACTACACCACGTATGCCTTGGCATGATGTGGGTATATGTGTGGTGGGCGCTTCGGCACGTGATGTCGCTCGTCATTTTATACAACGTTGGAATGCAATGAAATTGGAGAAGATGCGTGATAATGCTAGTTTTCCATATTTAATGCCAAAGAGTTATCAAGAAATAAAGCTCAATCCAAATATAGTACAAAAGCGACAAAATCGTACTACTTGTCAATTGCTACGTAGTGTCTCATCATGGAGTTGCGGTTTTATAGAACAGGACCTTGTTGAGCAAAGCATACATGATGCTTACATACAAACTATAACAAAGGCACAACACTATATATATATAGAAAATCAGTTCTTTATAACTATGCAGTTGGGTTTGTCAGGTGCTTATGGAAACGTCAGAAACCAAATTGGTGAAACACTCTTCAAACGTATCGTCAGAGCACATAAGTAAGTTAATAAAATTAACAATATATGTAATTACCTAATTGATTTAAAATGCTATCTCATTTTATAGGGAACGTAAAATCTTTCGAGTATATGTTGTTATGCCTTTATTGCCAGGTTTTGAAGGTGATGTTGGGGGTAGTACTGGAAATGCAGTCCGCGCCATTACGCACTGGAATTATGCCTCTATATCGAGGTAAATATTTTTATAGAATTTATTAGCAAACAAGAAAATAAATTAATAAACTCTAATTTTACAGAGGTAGGTCGGGTATTTTAACACGTCTAAAAGAAGTTGGTATATCTGATCCTGGTGAATATATATCATTCCATAGTTTACGCACACATTCCTATCTTAATAATAATCCCATAACTGAACTGATTTATGTGCATTCTAAGCTACTGATTGCCGATGATCGTGTGGTTATCTGTGGTTCAGCAAATATTAATGATCGTTCGATGATCGGTAAACGTGATTCTGAAATTGCAGCTATAATAACTGACGAAGAGTTTGAGGATGGGCGTATGAATGGTAAAAAGTACCCAAGTGGTGTCTTTGCAGGACGTTTAAGAAAATTCTTATTCAAAGAACACTTAGGTAATTTTTAATTTGTTCAAATGTAAATTATATAGTTAAATTTATTTTCTTCATATAAGGTTTACTTGATCCAGATGCTGATCGCATATCAATTGATGTGACTGATCCAGTTATTGATCAATTTTGGAATGGCATGTGGCGGCGCACATCAACACGTAACACAGAAATCTATGATGAAGTGTTTAAATGTATACCAAACGATAATGTTAAGTCTTTTGCCAATTTACGTAAATATCAAGAAGAGGTTCCTTTATGCAAATCCGATCCAGATGTTGCAGCTAAACGTGTCACAAATATTCAGGTATATAGATGTTCATCATTTGAAGTGTAATCGGTAGTGATCTTATATTCTTTTTCTACTTTTAGGGATTTTTAGTCAATTTACCTTTAGAGTTTCTTAATAAGGAAGTTCTTACACCTCCTGGTACAAGTAAAGAAGGTCTAATACCAACATCTGTTTGGACGTAGCGCTAATTAATATTATGGATGTGTTATTATTGTATAAAAGTGTTTTTTTAAATTTTTGTTAAATGTTGCCTAATATTTGTATACTGTTTTGTTTTTATATGCAAATTTTGTATTTATGTGTGTTTATATGTTTTCTGTCTGTGTTGTGTACATATATATTATATTTATCTAGAGTTTAATTTAGTAATTTTGCAGTATTTTAAATTTTTCTATATTAAATTTGTAGTTAATAATAAAATAATATAAAATATTATAAAATGTTTTTAACTTTGGATAATATAGGCCCGAGACTACTAACTTAAATGGGTTGGGCTTACCGAATCTATAAACTGGTAATATACATCATGATCATGATACATGATTGAAATGGTGAGGATAAAGGTAACTACTTTCTAAAAAAAATTACAACATACATACAACTTTCAAAGAGTTCTTTCCTTAACGAAGAATTTTCCCTCACTATCTTGCATGTAAGAATGTCTCTCTATATATCTTGTATGTAGATATTTTTTTCGTTTTGATGGCTCAAGCCTCAACAACAAAAACTTTATTAATGTTTGATTTTTTTTTTGTCAAAAGTGACGCTTCTTATGAGGAAAATAAACTATTTAAAACTTAGAAGAGTTCGAATATAAATGAAAAAACAACAACAAAAATTTTAGTTAATTTATTGAAGTTTAGCTGACCAGGCAACGCTGTTTCGATTATTGCCAAGTACTCATCATCAGTGATCTTAGGAAATAGACACACAACGGAACATACATTTTTACAAAATAAATATTAGAAAATTTTATAAGACGTTCTAAATGTAGGTGAAGGAATAGGTGGCTCAATAGTTAAGTGAAGGGAAGACGAACTTAACAAAATAAGTGCGTATGATTCAATGAAGAAAGTTCTGTCTTCAAAGCTGTTTTTTGGCTATGTGAAATCTATACGATTTGCTATTAGGATATATTCGAAACGATAATATAAGCAATACAAAGCTTTATATATGGTAGGTAGATCAAAGGAGACATCGATAGAATTGTAGACTCCTTTAGTAAAATTGGTGTGCCCGATTTAATAGTGGAAGTACTGATTTATCAAGAATTGTAATAAAAAATATAATGTTTATTATAATTGATGTGTAATGTAGATAACAAAACTTACTTAATGAAATTTATTAAATAGATTTGTATGATTGAATAGTGATCACATCAGTTCTGCTAAAGTCGAACGGGTTGGTTATGGATGGAAGTTGCCCATGGACTGAAATGCTTAGTGAGGAAAAGAAAATAATATTTTATATGTATAATTGATATATAGAAAAGTCGGATTGATGATCTAGTAAGCTACTTTAATAAAATAGATATGTGTGATTATATGTAATAATTGCATAAGGGCTGCGAACAAAACCTTCTAATGAATTGCTTATGGAAGCACTAGTGTATCAAGAAGGTGGAAAGATCGGGTGACCAGCAATTTGGGGGCGCTCGGTATTACCAACTGGGGACAGCAAGTAAGTGATCGGGCTGGTGGTGGAAGCTACTCGGCGCGGCTTAGAATGACTTAGGTCTGTAATGAACAACTAAGAAGTAAGTAAGTGTATTAACAAATAAAGTGAAAGAAGGTTGGTTATATTCTAAAAAAATATATAATTAATAAGAATATGATATATAGATAACAAAACTAAGTGCATTTAATAAAGGCATAAAGGTAAAGTTCAAGTTTTAATATCTTTAAAAAAATTTCGATAACCTTTTTGTAAAACTACGTAGCTAATTGGTATTAGTTAATTGAAACTATATAAATCAATAATTAGTATAAGTAATAGTTTCATATGAATTTTAATCGACCTTCATCACTTAAAACTCAAAATGCAGCAATTAACGAATTCATTATTTCATGTTAACAAACAATTAGAGTTTTAATAGTTATTAAAAAGTTAATTAACAAAACTGTGATGTTCAAAGTATTGCAAAATGAAAAGCAATTAATATCTATTAACATTTGTACCATAAGTTCTAGATACAAGGGTAGAAACTTGAACAATATCTCAAATTTACTTATTAGATACAATGTACTATATTTATATAAGAAAAAATAAAATTCTTACTATTGTAAGAAAACTTACATATTATATAGTTGAAAGGTCATAATTATTATAATAGCCTACGACATACTTGCGGACTATCACACTCCAATATAAATGGTGAGTATAATTTGGTCGTCATAGAGTAGAGACTTTGGGACGTTGATCTGGTAATTGCTAGAATCGGCAATTCATTAAAAGTTACCATGTTATTGTTATTGATGTTCTTCAAACTCGAAAAGACCTGGTATTGTTGTTCATATTTGGATGGGTGATCAGCCTTTGGTCGATGAATATGAAATAAGATCTTAGGTAGCAATAGCTGGCTAGGAAAGTTCAAGCAGAGATCTCAAACCATATCAAAATCGTGAAAAATATTTTATTAAGATGCATATTACTTAAAATATGTCTGTGTCAATAGTGAGATTGCTCACTCCAATATCAGGAAAGTAGTTCATATTCTCAAATAATAGTTTCTTTAAAGAATTTTAATTTGGTTAACGTTATCGTCCGACAGAAACAGAGAAAATGTTTCAGGGTTTCTTTAACACTCGGTTACTTGTACTTCCTATTTTCATTACTGTAAGTAATATATTTTGTATTATATTATAGCAATAAATTCATTTTTACGTGGGTTGCCTCGTACATTACTGAAATTAACATTTAAAATAATTAAAGTTTTTAAATATTTGCTAAACTAAAATTTTTAGTATGTTGATATACGTATTTATTTAGAATATTGAATTTAGAGTAACCGCGAATAAGAGGATATTATCGTAAAAGTTTGCGATATACTTGTATTACACTAATTACTAATAGATACATGATAGGACTAAAAACATTTAGTAATAAATTTAAAAATATGATATTTAGTTTAAAGTAGTTAATTAGCATGCATTATTAAGTAAAGGCTAAATTAATAATGCTTATATATCATATAGAGTTGGCTGATCGATTTCTGCAATATTTAATTAAACATGTGTCACCAATAAATTATCCACTTAATATATCTACTATTGGTTATTCCAACAGATCACAGATTTATACTCATTTTATTGATTTTTAATCTTTTTGATATATTTAGTTTCTTATATTATGGAAAAATAACGTTGCAGTGCCCAAAGCCCACTTAACCTCAAATAATGGCCCGCTGCAGCATAGGAGCAACGCAGAAAGGCAGACCTTACCCATTAGGTAAATATGAACCATCCATACAATTCTATTAACTTGGTTAGGTCTGTAATTTCGCAGAATGACAGTTTGATCGGGTGGAGAAGAAGGACCCCGAAGATTTTAGATCTTTTCCTAAGTAAAGATGAATACTGTAAGGAATCTATCAGGTTTCTAAGTTGTTATAACTAATGATGAAACATGCTGTTTCCAATATAACTGGAAAGCCTATTTATATTTGAACCTATTTATATAACCTCATTGATACATGAAGACTACATAAAACTAAATTAAAACTACAAAACTGTGGAATAAAAATATATATTATTTTTAATTTTATAAAGAAATGTGAGTAAGCAAATTATTAATGCAACAAATATATTGAAAAATATTGTGATTTAAAAACAAACTTCATTAATATCACTAACGATAACAGTATTTCTCAAGTAAGAAACTTATTATAGACAATATATATCCAGTACATAGGAGAATAGCGGGCATTTGAAAATATTCAATACTCATCGGTTCCACATAACGGTATTCAGTTTTGAAGAACTTCAAATGACCATAGCGTATAGCAGTTTCCTTTGTTTTGGCAAGAAAATGTTTATAGAATCCAAGCTCAACCATACGCAATAAGTAAATATTAAACATGTTCTCCAGTGGCCAATTGTTAGAAATAGGAAAACTACCCCATACTTCGAAAATGGGTGCATCGAGTAATTTCATTTTGGGACGTAAGAGAAATTTCTGTTGATATAGCAAAATTTCACATGCATCGGCAAAGCAGATATAGGCTTGTCGCGGATCTAAAGCATTGCGATTTATTTTAAACGAAGAGGTATTCACATAAACTAATATTTTCTTCACCGATTCAGAAATATTTAATGAATTGAAAACAACACTTTCTTCATGTGGAAACCAAAGTGATAAGTTCCTTCTTCCAAGATCATCAAGTGTTTCGATTTGATGTTCGAAGACGTTTGTATTCATTATACTGGAGAGGTGTGCCAAATAATATCTTGATATAATACCACCAGTAGCAAGCAGTATAAAAAAAATTATATAAATGGACTTTCCCTTCAACGACTTTAGACTAAAGTTCAAAGAGATTATACTGCTTATGGTGATTAGCAGAAATTTACTGATATTCCAACGTTTGGATTGTGCTCTAAAAATGAGAGACATCATGAATGTTATGTAGAGAATACTTATTAAAAGCATCAACCAAACGGTTAAGCTGAAAGGTAACAAAAACATCTTGTATTTCATGACTGGACTCGCATATGGTACCATTATGTATCCATGTTCTATAGAAAGAGGCGTACTTATAACACGTGATTTTATTTGTGTAGAAGCATCAAGACAAATTTCAACTTTTCCAGCGTCCAAGTAACTATAACAATGGTAACGTGTGTAATTGAGAACGAATTTCACTTGAAGTGTGGCATTGAAATGTTTTGTAAATAGTTTTACATATTCCGCCATCAGACCGTGTAAGATTAACTCTCCCTTACTATTGACATAAACGTAAACACGTGGGCTGTGATCACCAACTAGTGCTTGAATGGGATATCCTTGCAAATTCAACCAATTATTTCGATGTTCTATATATTCTTCCAATGTAGATTTCTTATATCTTAATACAGGAATTGGAATAAGACTAAAAAGTATAGAGTTATCAATATCAGTCAGCAGTACATTGTAGAAACCTGTTTTCCAGCACCAAGCGAATAAATCGTTCCAAAGGTCATCTGAGATATCCAGTTCAGCAGTTGTAATGAAGAGCAAATCCGTGTGATACAAACGATTAAGTGTGAGTTTTAGTGAAGATTTTACTTTAGAACTGAGTGCATTATTATCTAAAAATACTATCGTTAGTATTTTGGAGTGAAACTTCTTTCTCCATTCCACAGTAGTTTCATTTGTAATAATAATTTTAGGTGAACTTATATTTCTGATTATTTCCTCCTGCCAATTACCACGGTTCTCGTTCGTATAAATAATATTCGTTTCAGCGTCAATGGCGGCGTTCAGAACTTCAATGAACTTACTGGCAGGTTGTGAATACACGTGAAGTATCCCAAAGCATGCAATGAGAGCGAATACAATGAAACGCAACATGTCCTTTGTGAAGGTTCTGTTTACTTCTGACGCTTAAGTGATTTTTGTTCCGTTTTTATATGAAAAGTCGAAGCAGTTAAGTTACGAGTTACGAAAATTACAAATACATAATATTATTATATTTTAAATAATTAATGAAACTCATTCATTATCCGAACGCAAAAGGAACTGCACATCTTACAATACTTCGAAATTCTTTATTGTTATAATTATGACAAAGCCCAAAAGTGCTCTATATCTATGTGTTTAGTATTATCTAGCTTAGTAAAGCTAGTACAACTCGTGGTGAAATACGTGACATTCTCACCAAATCAGCTGTCAAAACTGTTTATATTAAATCTGATGTCAATTAAGATAGCTATCAGTTTAGAAATCAATGAATCTGTTACAGTTTTTTTAATATTTTACAAGAGAGAAATGCGCAATGCTTGTTATAAGTGATTGCAACATACTCTCTACGAGAACTATAGATATGTCACGCCAAATATAATTATACAAATTTTTTTTGCATAGTTTTTATTTTTATATATTATAATTTATAATTATTTATAATTATTAATTATTATTGTTTCGAATTATTTATAATAATAATTACATATTTTGTTTATTATTTATATAATTATAATAATTATTTATTATTATAATAAGGATTTTAATAATATTATAATTATTATAATATTTATTTATAATTATTAATTATATTAATTATAATAATAATAATTAGTTATAATTATTAATAAATATATATAATTATTAATTATATTAATTATAATAATAATAATTTTTATAATTATTAATTAGATGGTATTAAATACGATTGACAAAAAAGCCATATATTTTATTTTTATATCAAAACTACTAGTCTATATAACTGATTTCATTTAGTTCCAACAATAAAAAACTAAATACAAAGGACTTTTGTAATATCGGTCTCCATATGAAACAAGGTGTGGACCTACAAAAGTTTTAGAAGCAGATAGTGCAAACAATTCTTGGATTTTATTGATCTGATAACAACATAATCGTACTTATTATACGTATAGAGGGAAAGCATTTATAAGATGTTCAATAATTTTTTTTTATCTGATCACTCCAAACAGGTTTCGTGGTTCGAGTTATACAAGTTGCAACTTTAAATTACGATACATGAATAGGAATATACCATAGACATTTATAATTGCAGATGGAGATATACAGCTTCCTGAGTCTCTAGATTCTGAGACTGAGACAAATTCAATATTTAAGAAAGCAATTAATAGTTAACAAAAATAATATTAAATTCTTTGTTTTTTAATTGGAAAACTATTAACAAATTGTAGACAACGCTGATGCAATTAAAAGTAACAATAGCAAAGCCATATCTATTAAGTAAATGAATAATAAATGATCAATCCCGATTTCTCCGTCTAATTCAACTTTACGTCCATTGCTAACTAAATCCAAAGTGTTTGAATCGAAAATATTATCGTTCATTACATTACTTTTTGGCTCAAATTCATTCTGATTTGAAACATCAGTTAAAGTTAGCTTCTCTTCAGTCCTATCGCCACTGTAATGTTGAATGCGCTCAATAAATCCAGTTTGTGCATCATTCACAGTTTTATATAGTACCATCTTATTATCTGGAGATATTTCCATCAACGACTTTTTTGATGTTACATCTCTATTCAAAGATAGCATATCTGAACAAAGATGACAAAACGACAATTTATTGGACTCATCATCCAAAGGATTATCTCTGTATAAGCGATCAATGTCACCGAATTTCACAGTTTGAGTACTCTTGGTGTTAATACAGGTTTCAAAGTTGTTACACATTTCGCTTCCCTTACCTGCTTCACCTGTAATATTTGAGTATTTAATAATTCTTCATTTTAGATATATTGTAGCACACCCAATTTTTTATTGCGCTTACCAAAATCTGTCTCCAACTTTTTATCGCTTAATCCTCCTTTTTTCACTTTCAGAGGATCTGTAGTTTGTTTAAGCTGATCATTATTTTCAGAATTCTCAAAGCAATCGTCAATGAACGTTTTGATAGAAGCAGATTTTTTCACTTGTGTGGTGGGTTGTTCATACCAAATCTTAATTTCCTTTCTGAAACCTTCTCTCATAATTTTGTAACTTTTCTTCTTCGATTGACAACCCTTATCTTTAGCGGACCCATATCCTAGATAGTTTTCTAAATTTTTATCTCTGTCTGACTTATCATTCACCACGTTAGTGCTTCTTTTTTTATCTGTTCTTTTTGGACTCAATTTTCTGACATTTGTTTTGATGGTCCTGTTTTTATAAGGTTTGCCGCTTTTAGGGAAAGCATTACGTATGCATATGGGAGCATTACGTATTTGCATTTCTCCATCTGTTATATTTAGTGCTGCCTGATATTCCACTTTGGAACTGAAAGTTATAAATCCGTAGCCTTTGCTTACTCCACACCGATCTATAACAATTCGAACAGACTTAATGCTATTAAATTTTTTAGCGAAAACTGAATGCAATTCTGGTTGTGTAATTGAATGAGAAAATCTTGCATATATTTCAAAACATTCCTCTTCAAATAAACCGATACTCTTGAATTTGGGCTGTTGCAAAACATTAGTCCCATTAACCGGTGGTTGTGTGTCTTCCACTTCCATTTTCAGAAACGTAAAATAATGCGCAGGAAGTACACCTCTTATAACACGTCTATTAAGTTTATTTAGTACTCGCTGAGCCTCTCTTTGATTTTGAAATTCTATTAGGTATAGGGCTTCTTTATTATCTTTTTTGACCAAATGCACAGCTACTGGATCCTCATAATATTGTCTGAAGGCACCTAATATCAATTCCTCATTAAAATTAGGAGAGGTTACCAATTTCAAAAACTGTAGAAAGAAGTTTTTATATACACATATGCTCTATACTATGTTCAGGGTATATATATACCTTTGCCATTTTTAATATATAACCAATTGATATATAAACGTCTGCAAAACTTTGTTAAAAAAAACGTATTATGAAGGCAACTTTACAGGAACTATTTTATAATCGAATGGTTTTAACAAAACCAACTACAGTGCATTTGTAAAAATTGTCACAAATGACATTTAAGAATATGGCGTATGTATAGCTGTTCCATTCTAACTTATAAATTAAAATACAATTTATTATGAATTGTATATGTAGTGCTTCGTGTACAATTTTTGAAAGCCCGGAATTGATTTGTTTCGGAGTTGCAATTCAAATTTGAGCACAAAAGTTTCTTAATTGAAAATAGTTCACAATAGTGAAAATATTTTTTCACATAGTTCAAATGGTCTGTATATATCCTATAGATGCATGTTACCGTGTCAAGCTTCGGAACGAATTAAAAGCTACTTGTAAATTTTTTAAGAACGGAAATTAACAATTATATTGAACTGCTTTCTATGGTGCAACCTTTCATTATAAAACAAGACATATTTATGAGAAATGCTATTTGACCCCATGAGAGATTATCCGCACCTTTGCGATTTTTGGCTTCGGGAGAACTTTTCAGGACTTGAAGTTCTTGACTGTGATATCTTCACATAGTTTAAGTAATATAATTATTGAAACCTGCAATGCCATAAGAACAACATTAGGCCTTTTCTTTTGTAAGCATGTTGCAAAAGTACACATGTAATAAGTACTACTTTCGCTGGCAACTCTGGATAAAATGGAGTTTTGTTAGGCTTATATTTGCGAAAAATTTAAAGTTAAAATTTCGATCATGAATAAAAATTCTTTGCAATAATTGGTGAGAATATTTTTTTTACATGATTCTAAATAAAATATAATTTCTCATGCCTTTTAACAGTAAAATAGTAAATAAAAAAAATAACGTATTTGTTACGAACAATGACGACACGAAATGCGAATAATTAACGAAATCATTCGTTGACAGTTAACTGAAAGTTTCGTAGTTACTTCCAAAAGTCGTTCACAATAGACAAGTTTTTTTTGTGTTGGCAACCATGCGATTTGTTCTTTTGTGATATGCTTATAAAAGAAAACGCCTATTGAAAGAATATATTAAGGTAAATTAATTATAAATAGGAATATTTATTGTCTTAATTTATCACATTTTAGTAAAATGTAAAAGTAATCAAATTTGAAAATATAATTGGAATATTTGTTATATTAAGCAAAATCTGTGCTATTGAACAGTTCATCAAAGAACTTCTAATAATTTTCCACCGAATTCATAAATGTCTTATAAACCTTTGATGACCACAAAACAAATGTTAATTACATATCTGTTCAAAATGAACCTTTTTACAACACTGTTAGGAACGAAATGAAATGTAAATAACTGTTACTTCGAATCAAGGAAACATAGTTGTGCTCAGGTACACAAAAAAGATTTAGTATTGCACCAAAAAAATCAGACCGCTGGAGCGCTGCTGGTAAGATACGTGATGTTTTTGATATATTAGACTATTTTTTAGACTTTGTTTAAATAGGTGATTTATGAAAACATCAGTATTATTTCGAATAAAAGCATGGACATAAACGCAAATAACACCAAGCAAAATCTATGAATCAATTTGCAAGAGAGGTTTGTATGCGCATAACTCACATATATAAATATATGCTGTATAGCGCAAGGAGTAGATCAACTGAAGGCACAATGATCCATATCAAAAATGAATGCGAAAAGAGAAAAATTTTAAGAAAGACGTTTGAATAATTACTTCCTCTTCCATCGAAGTTTCCGGCATTTCAATAAGAGTTGTGGCATGTTTTGCAAGGGTTCTAGCCACTCTAACACACCACCTTTCAGCTTTTATATTAAAAACTTTTAGTAGGAAATAGTATTTGGAAAATATTAGTTACTTCTCTACGACTCAAATATCGCAGAGCCAGCGAAACTTGTGTCTTGCGGAAGTTCCAGCGCCTGTTCTTATCAAGAGGCGCCTTTTTGAAAACCGGTACCTCAGCTGTAATTTTTCATAACGCAGCAAAAACGGATCTTCACGTTGTTGATATATAGTTTTGAGTGGCGTTTCGGCTGTTTTAATAGGTGCCATAACACGACCTTCGCAATGTTTTCTTTATTCGCTCATTTAGCGTTTTGGGATAATCATTCTAATGTATTCTAAATAGGTATTAGAGATTTCATTCGTAATGAGTACTCACCTGACTCATGTTTGAATAAAGTGAAAATTCAATTTTTATAATACGCAGGAAACAGTGGTTTTTATAAGGCTATCTCTGGCAACCGAAAGGGCAATTAACTATTAAATTTATATAAAGTAGGATATCCCGCTATGATTTTTTTAAACGTCTGATATTTTCAATATTAAATGTGCTGCTTCCATCAAATGAATATAATATCTTTCAGTTTAATATTTCCTTATGTTTCACATGCCGTCTAAATATAGGTTTTATATAATATATTTTTGGAATTGAAATTGAATAAAATGAGACGAAATATATTCTTTTCTGAGGCAAGAATTTATAAGACAATAAAGTTTGTTTACAATGGTAGATGTTTAAGAATATTGAATTTTTGATTTCAGCAATTGAAGTTTTAGAATTGTCTGTTCCATAACTATTATATTCTATACTTTTGTGTAAACTGGCTAGGTGCTTCTTATAACATTATAACCTATTTTAATAGATTTTGTTATTAAATTACAAAAAATTAATATTATAAATTTTTGATGTTAATTTTATTTCTTTTTTAAAATATTTCACTGAACTATAATTTGTTTTTTTACCACTTATGGTAAATAATGCACTAACGGCAACAAAATTTTTCTAATAAGAAACTTATTATAGCCAAAACGTATCCAGTAAATAGAAGAATAGCAGGCATTTGAAAATATTCAATACCCATTGGTTCCACAGAATAGTATTCGGTTTCGAAGAACTTTAATCCACCATAACGTATAGCAGTTTCCTTTGTTTCCGTAAGAAAATGTTTATAGAATCCAAGTTCAAACATACGTAATAAGAAAATATTAAACATATGTTCCAGTGGCCAATTGCTTGCAATTGGAAGGCCAGACCAGACCGTGATAATTGGCTTATCGAGTAATTTCATTTTGGGACGTAGAAGAAATTTTTGTTGATACAGTAAAATCTCACAACCATCAGTGAAGCAAATATAATTATGCCGTGGATCTAAACGATTACGATGTAACATCAAGTCAGATGCATTCACATAGATTAATATTTCTTTCACTGTATCAGATGTATTGAATTTATCGAAAACGACTCTGCTTTGACTATCACTCCAAATCGATAGATTTATTGCCTTCATATCTTCAATTGTTTCAATTTGACGATCGAAGACAGGTGTATTCAATAAGCTGGAGAGGTTCGCCAAATAATATATTGATATAATTCCACCAGTAATCAGTAATATGAAGAAGATTACGATAATAGACTTTCCCCGTAATAACTTTAGACTAAAGTCCAATGAAAGAAAGCTGCTAATGGTGATTAACAGAAAACTACTGAAGTTCCATTGCTTGGATTGTGCTCTATAAATAAGAGACATCATACATGTCATGTACAGAATACTTATCAAAAGCATCAACCAAACGGTAAAAGTGAAGGGTAACAGAAACATTTTGTATTTCATGACTGGACGCGCATACGGTACCATTATGTGTCCATGTTCTGTGTGATATGGCTTACTTATGATTTGATTATTTATTTGTGTAAAAATATCGATACAAATTTCAGCTTTTCCAGTATTCAGATAATTAAAGCATTGTAAAAGTGTGTAATTGAGATTGTATATTACTTGGAGTGTGGCATTGTAATGCTTTGTAAATAATTTCACATAATCTGCCACCATACCACTTAAGGATATTTTTCCATTATTATCGATGTGCACATGGACACGTGGGTTGCGATTACCGACAACTGCTTGAATGGGATATCCTTGCAAATCTAACCAATTATTTCGTTGTTCCAAATATTCTTCCAATGTAGATTTCTTATAACTTAAGACAGGAATTGGAATAAGACTAAGAAGTATAGAGTTATCGACGTCAGTTAAAAGTACATTGAAGAAACCTGTTTTCCAACACCAAACGAATAAATCGTTCCAGAGGTTATCTGAGAAATCCAAGACAGCAGTTGTAATGAAGAGCAAATCCGTGTGATAGAAACGATTAAGTGTGAGTTTCAGTGTAGATTTTACTTCGGAACTAAGTGTGTTATTGCCTAAAAGGACAATCGTAAGTATTTTGGAGTGAAGAACTTTACTCCATACCAAAGTAGTTTCATTTGTAATAATAATTTTAGGTAAACTAGTGTTTCCGATAATTTCCTCTTGCGCATTAATAAGGTCCAGGTTCGTGTAGATAATATTCGTTTCGGCATGAATGGCGACACTTAGAACATCAATAAATTTGCTGGTCGGCTGTGGATTAATGTGAAGTATCCCATAGCATGCAATGAGAGCGAGTGTAAGAGCACGCGGCATGTCCTTTGTGGACGTTGAGTTTGTTTCTGACGCATATGTGGCTTTAGCTCTGCTTTTATATTAAAAGCAGAAACAGTGAAATTACGTGTCGAACAAACGAAATACAACTTACAATTACATCATAATCCATTAAGATTACAGTAGATATAGATACCGAAACATTATCGCAACCTATGGTTTCTTAACCCTATGAAGTTATTATAAACAAATATTATTATTATTTGTTTTAAATATCTGGGGAACAAATATCTTTAATATCATAATTAAATTTTATGTTGAAATTTGGTCAAGTTAATTACGATAGTGTAAACGTATTTTAAACTAAACAAAATATCATTTTTACCTTAAAGTTGAACTTTCGAACTTAATTTTTTATAGAGGATAATATTTTTTTAGTTTTTGTGATGAATATATTATGTATTTATATTATGTATATGTAGTTTAAATTAATTGTTTCTTAACTAATTAGTTTTATCAAAGACCGAAATAACTATAAAAATAAATCAATTCAAAACATTTGATCCAATGCAAAATTTAGTGTATGATTTAGATATCATGCATAAGAGTAAAA